AAACGTAAAGCAACACAACTCGCGAAAGGGCTTGAAGTGACAGGTTTCAACGCATCTGATGGGTGGCTTTCAAATTTCAAAAAAAGGTACTATATAAAGGAATACAAACGTTTAGGTGAAGCTGCAAGTGCAGCTCTCGAGAATCTTCCCAGATTTCGCAGTGAGTTGCAAGAACTACTCAAAAAATACAAGCCTGAGAATGTTTATAATGCTGATGAAACTGCATTATACTGGCGTATGGAACCTAATAAAACATTAGCTGATGGCCCAGTTGCAAGAAAAAAAAAGTCAAAGACCGTGTTACTATATTACTTACATGTAATGCAACCAGTGATCACAAACTTCCCCTCTGTTTATACATAAATTTAAAACCCCTCGAGCTCTCAAAAATATTGATAAATCTACCTTACCCATGTATTATTACTGAAATAGTTCCTCTTGGATGCAAACATCAATTTTTAACAATTATATTAAGCATCTAGATAACCAAATGTAACTTGCTCGTCATTCAATTCTTCTTATATTGGATGGTGCATCAACTCACGTACTTGAAGAAAGCTTTACCCCAACAAATATTAAATTGCATTTTTTTCCTCTATGTACAACAGCACATCTTCAACCATGTGATGTGGAAATAATTTGGAGTTTTAAGGTTAGCTAATTTAAGCTTTTTTTATTTAACTAGATTTTTTTTATTTAAACTTTTTTATTTTTTTTTTTAAGTTTTTTTTTTATTTTAGTTTTTTTTTTATTTAAGTTTTTTTTTTTTATTTAAATTTTTTTATTTAAGTCTTGTTTTTATTAATTTTTTATTTTTATTAAATTATTTATGTAGCCACATTATAAAAAATTTTTTTGCACAGACTGTATAGAAGCTTTTGATTTTTTTTTGGAATCTGGTGACCCCCCTGAAGAAATAACTATCAAAGATGCAATTGATTTTACAGCTGCTGCATGGAAAGAAGTAATCTCAAGTAAGAATTAGAATCCGTTTGGTTAACTACTATGTTTAGTCGACTAATTAATCGACTAAATATAGTAGTTAATTCAATTACTTTTTCAATTAGCTAAAATAATTCTCTAATTTTAAGAACGATTCGTAACTGTTGGAGAAAGACTGGCATTTTGCTAGAGGTTTTTTTAGTGAATTATTTCTGTATGAAGAACCAGACCAAGCCAATGAACCTGACCAATCCAATGAACCTGACATTATTGATAAGATTCAGGATTTGATTACACGATTGCCTCTTGACCAACCAATGGATACATACGAATATGTAATTGCTAACAATAACCTTATCACCACTGAAATACCAACTGATAAAGAAATCATTGAAGCTGTCAAGAATCGTGATTGTATTGAACCAGATGAAGAATCACGAAAACCAATATCACCTGTAGAAGCCTTAAGATTTATTCATGGAATCCTAACTTTTCTTGAAGAGCAGCCAGATGGAAGTTTTAAAGTTGATGATTCTCTTATTCAGAATTTAGGAAAATTAAAAAAAGAAATAAATTCGAAACTTGTCACTTCCAAACATCAAGCAACCTTGGATACATTTATTTGTAATACGAATTAGACCAATTTTTTTTAAAAAAAAAAAATTTCAATTTTCTTTTTTTTTTCTTTTTTTTTTTTTTTTTAAAAAAAAATTTTTTTAAAAAAAAATTTACATTTGACTTGGAGCAGAATTAGAAAATTACAAGAGTAGACGCAGAAGTAACAACAGGTTAAATAAAAACTGATTAGGTGGCAATATTTTATTTAGCATTTTCATTGAATATAGTAGCTTGAAATTGGGCTGACCAACTTTGGAAAATTTGAAAGGGTAAATTTCAAACCTTTTTTGCAAGATACAATCGGATTTTTGTGGGCAATTGCAAGATTTTTTTTAATTTTAATTATTTTGATAGTAAAATGCTTTAAATCAAATTTTTACAAATAAATTTCAGTTTCCGGGTGCTTTATTTTAATTAAAAAAAAATTTCTCTTTGGGTCTGACTTTCCACAGTTTCATAAATGTAATTGTAGTATATGCTGTAATACTACTAATTAATATCCTGGAAGGATACTAATAGTTTTTTAGCGATTGCTTCATTTATTGATGCCATAGTGCATATCTAATCTTCATTTAAAGGGTTCTGGGTTAACTTCCAGAAGTTCATTTTTCGATATACCATTTCACAGAAGTTGTAATACTAACAATCCATTTTACTAACAAAACATAATAGATTCATGTTATTCTACCAACACACAATTCACCAAGTTTATTTTATCTACAATTACTTCGCCGACAGCTCATTTTACTGACACATTTTTTTAAGAATTATACTAACTTTAATTTTAATTCTAAACTAACCCTAACGACAATGACTGGAATTACTTTTCGGTGAAATGACTGTCGGTGAAATGACTATCGGTGAAATAAACTATCGGTAAAATAAACTGTCAGTAAACTAAGTTGTGTCTTGTTAAAAAAAAGGAATATTGGAATTATAGAATCGGAGAAATAGCATTTCGGGAAGGTAACTTCAAGAAAGTAAGCAACAATGCATTTAAGAATGCTTGAGACACGAAGAAATTCAGTTAGTACTAAAATAATTATAATTAATTGGGTGTAATAATGTAAAAATTGTACGTAATAGATTTTTGGGTATTTCTCTTGATATAGTGAAGATTTCATATTTAATTATTATCTTTACTATATCGAGAGATTTTCAATATAGTGAATCTCTCAATATAGTGAAGAAATTTTTACAGCCTGAGATCTTCACTATAACGAGAGTGACTTGTATTATTATCGGGTATATTGGTTAGATATCGCTGCTTGTATATTAGTAATATCAGTCTTGGTTGGTAAAGCCATCTCTAGTACTTTTAGTCTTATTTCTAACATGTCATTATACTATAATGTTGAATAATATTAACAGGTTAGGTTAGTTAGAGTTTGAATTAAGTATGTGTTATTCTTGTTTTCTTGTGAAGTACATTATTAACAGGTGTTCTTTTTTTCTAGAGTCATGTAAATTATAGATATTTAGGCACATATTGGACGTTTGACTTGTAAATCCTGGGAGTATGATTTAAAAGATTTGTTCTTGATTTTTCTTGCTTATGAATACATTACTAATGCTTCTTTTGTTTCTAGATTTTTAGATCATCTTTGGGCTTTATAGAAATTGTAGAGCATATGATTTGCGAATTAAGAATATATGGGTTTATTTTTCGTTGTTGCTTTTTGCCTTATAAATACTTTACTAATGCTTCTTTTTGTTAATGAGTTTGTAGATGTTTTGGGCTTTCTTGGGAGCTGTGGAGTGTATTACTTACAAATTCAGAAAGTATAGTTTCATTTGATCTGAAAGTATAGTTTTATTTTTTTGTTGTTGCTTTTTGTCTTGTGAATGAATTACTAATGCTTCTTTTTGTTACTGAGTTTTTTAGAGTGTCTCTGGATTTCTTGAAAGCTATGAAGTATATGATTTGTGAATTCAGAATGTATGCTTTCAATTTTTCATTACTGCTTTTTGTTTTGTGAATATTTACTAATGGTTCTTTTTTTTTAGATTTTTAGAATATTTTTGGACTTTCTTAGAAATGTATGCTTTTATTTTTTCATTGTTACTTGTTGTTTTGCAAATACATTACTAATA